CATCGCGGCCAAGTCTATTCTGCATGTGTATGCCGGCCTCCTATCGAGTAGGCGTGGGGGAGCTGGTGTTAAAACCAGGTGAGGTCGGTGCATGTGTTTTGGGCCATAGCTGAGGTAAACATGCATGACACAGAGTCACGTGTTATAGCCGTAGTTAAAGTGAAATAGGTGATTCGGGGTCACTGTGGCCGGAGCCGAAGTAAAATGTGTGACGCTAGTTCACTATGGCAGGAGCCGAAGTAAAATGTGTGACGCTAGTTCACTATGGCCGGAGCCGAAGTAAAATGTGACTCGGGGTCACTAAACCAGGAAGCTTGGTAGTCACGACTTGGAAGGAGGAAGCTCATTGGTGACGACCTAGAACCAGTAAACTCAAGAGTGACGACCTGGAACGAGGAAGCTCAGGTGTGACGACCTGAAACCAGTAAACTCATGAGTGACGAGCTGGAAAACCAGGAAGCTCAAGTGTGACGACCTGGAACGAGGAAGCTCAGGTGTGACGACCTGGAGCGAGGAAGCTCAAGTGTGACGACCTGGAACGAGGAAGCTCAGGTGTGACGACCTGAAACCAGTAAACTCATGAGTGACGAGTTGGAAAACCAAGTAGCTCAAGTGTGACGACCTGGAACGAGGAAGCTCAGGTAGCTATGATCACGAGGTGAGGCAACGCGATCTCATATTCCGTGTGACTTGAGTTTTTTGACCACCACTTTACCAGCCCGCACTAGTGGTGCTGGCAAATAAGGCGGCCGGGGTCACCCATTGATTTATGCGAAAGTTTGTGGCCTATGTAAGCTGCAATCCGTGTGTCGATCTGACAAATGCGCTTGTCGTCACGATGTGTGACGGGCTGAACCATGGGAGGATTTTAGCGAAAAATCTACACTGCTGAACAAACTATCACGGATGAGCCGATCTGGCAAAATGTCATGTTTGTGAGGACCTGGCAAGTGTGCCTGTAATGGCGAGCTGACTTGACAGTACAAGGTACACATTAGCAATGACGATCTGAATCTTCGATTTTTTGAATCAAGCAGATCTCTGAGGAGATATGGTTGATCTCCCCGTATCCCTTTGTCTTCCCCGTCAT